CTCCTTGCCCATGATAATAGTAGTCTGATGTTTCGTTGAAGGAAATATCTGATACAGTGACAGTCAGCTGAGCCTTATATACACACACTGGCGTCTCCACTGACCAATCAGAGCGCTGCGTCTGCAACAGCTGATCTGGTCATACTCCTCCTCTGCAGATACATAACGTGTAACTTGTTGAACGTAGTGATATGAACTGTTATACACGTTTCTTAAGTAATTGAATAATTGAAATTACTACATGCATAGCCTTTAAGGGAGCTTTCTAGAACTGTGCACGATGGTTGTTTGAATTGAATTGGTTGGTGCTATATGGATATCTTCCTGAAATATACACACACATCTCTGCATCATACTGGATTGACAATTATAAATTTCCTAATACTTTCAAATGTCGGTTAAAAGACTAAAATAATAAAGATATTGTGTTAAATAAAAATAAACAACACCCATTTAGGTAAACACTATACACCTTTTGTACGAGTTTCTTTAACCAGGGAGAGATTACGACCTTAAAATAAATACTCATTAGAATATTTATTTTTATATCTTTACTCTTTGTAGAATTAAGTTATTACTACAAAATCTTTACAAATAACTGATTTCATCGTATTCAAAAATAATTTATTTTGTATTTGTATATAAATGTAACACAATCATTTTAACAGAAACATGAAAAGAAGAGTTTAAACGTCATGTTATTAAATTTACAGTCTTAGGTACCTATCTCCATAAATAAAACTTGAAGTGGCCTGTTTCAGACTGCATTACTGTACGGATGGCGAAATATTTCTGAAAAAATACAAATTTAAAATATAAACGTGTTGTCTAATAATCACAGTGTTGTTTTTATTATGAAAAAAATGTTCTTATCTCAATTATCTTTCCGTATTGTTACTTCATGTGTGTTTATTGCGTTGTCGTGGCTTAGTATTACTTATGATAATTGAAGAAAGCATCTTAGATATACATAGGTCATACATTAACGATGGTAATAACTAGTAAGAGTAAGGGGATCTAAGTCATCGATACTGAGTTAAGGATCACCCATCACGTTAAGCAAAAAAATCCTCAGTGTTAATGTCAGTGGTTGATGGAGCTCATGGAATGAATAAGTAATTTAGAAAACTGGAAGTAATGGCTAGATTCACAATCTATATCAGCTGCCGGACTTGAATGATGGAATCGAGTGTTGTCGCCAAATTATGTGTCACACAATAGTTTCAAGTTATTATCCACTAATTTCTTTACCATAAAAGTAGGTCATCAAATAATTTGTGGCGTAGAAACCGTATTTCATTTCAAAGACTCCTAAATATACAAACGTTACTAGGCAGAGACGATTTACGAGAGGTATTTTAACATAAAATACTGTGGATATAACTATTTTTTTCGTAATAATTACTAAATCATAATTTTACTCCTAATAATTATATTATTAATTCTACACCTAGCTTCCAGCTAGAATTATTCAAGCTGGAAGAGGCGAACAATTTGAAACTTCTAATTTAAACTGTTAAGAACCCAACCTAAATATAAAAAAATCATACTGAATATGGATAAAATAATGAATTAAGAACTTTTAAAAGTTCTAAAAGTTTCTTTGCAAGGTTATAGATTTAAGAAAATTGAAAAGTTTGAATGACAAAGAGTAACAAATTGAATGGTTACATTCAAAAATTCAAACCAATGTAGGAATATAAACGTTGAAAAATAAATCCACTAAAAAGTTTTATTTTAGTTATTTTCCGTCCGAACTTTTTGATCTTGGTGTCGTTTTATAGGAAATTTTAAATGCTAAATAAATGTTGAATTGTCCATTTTCATAGATTTAGCTACTTTTGAGTGATTTAGGTTATGAAAATTAAATGTGCCACAATTTTGAAATTTCTAATTGGACCAATTGTTTTGGCACTTTTACTTTATTATGCATTCCAAGTTTCATAATCGTTGGTTGAAAAACTTTAAAGAAAAACAGTGTATGTATAAAAAACTAAATGTCGGGTATCTGGGTAAATATGCATTTCGGATGTAACTTCACATAAACTTTTTTTTATTTTTATTTATATTCCAAAGCCCTTGAACGTTTTTTATGGACACCCCGTATATCAATACTCTTGAGATTAGTAAAGAAAATTTATAGGGATATCAAAAATATATTTTTGGCAAATCATGTGTCAATCAGTGTAAAGATCATTTCGTTTTCACTCGTAAGAAAATACACATGTTGATCTGTTGTATCAGTATTGTCACAAAATATTAAACTAAATTTATTAACGATATATGTACTGCTATTTCATGTTATCTGGTTCCCAGTTATAATTTTTTTAGTTAAGTAGAATTATTTATGTTGGTCTATAACACTCGTCCCTGACACATGACACAAATGCTCAAATTAAATACTTTCAATGAAACAATCTACATATATTGTGATATAAGCCATTATTAAGGAAAACACTGTAGTGAGAATGTCGAATTTATTAGTTACAAGAGAAGTAGTATGTAAATGCCAATCTCTGAAGAAACCATACGGAAATAGTAAAAATTAGAACTATAATCCCATAGTCTTGAAATAGTTCTCTTCGTTGAAATAGTTTTAAAAGAATGCAAAACAGACCTTTCTATCTTAACATACTGCAAACCATAGTTGCAAACGATAACTTGTTGTGAAAATATAGTACCCAATAGTTAGTTTGTTTTTCATGTGGGTTTTTATTTACCTTAGCTTTAGATGCTTCTATCATCGTATGCAGGCCTGATAGTAAAAAATATACAAGTCTATAATATGCTGCAAGTTAGGACTATGTTGAGTATTCTGATGCATTAGATAATACCATTTTAATGTTTTAAAAATAGACATTAAAAACCCACTTCTGTTACGTTTCTAATGAATTCTTAACCATGTGATTGCGTTTCATAATATTTGTTGTTGTTTACATAATATTTGGAAACGGCCAGATTTGTAATGAAATTTGCTTTAAATTTAAGCACTAATCAGTGTGCCCCATATAACAAAAACATTAAAACTAGGACAAAACCTTGGCGATAAGAAATATATAAAACAATACTTATGTACATACATGTATTGATGTGTGTTGGTACAGTTTCTTATTATTTAATAGCCTTATAGAACCAACTTGATTATATACAGTATTCAAAAACTATATATTTTCCCCCGGTAACATACCTTTTTAAGACATCATACTTAATCGATATTTATAGTTCAGGTGTTAGTTTTACAGCTCATGATCTAGCGCGGAGGCTAAGCAAAAATGAAGTTTCTTTTAGGGCTTCGCCCGTTCGCCACCAGGCCTTTAAACCATTGTAAGAAATGAAATTTTATATCGGATTACATTCAGTTGAATTTCAACCAGATTGATTACTATCTGAGTACCTGTCCTTCGTACGGGGTTGGTATACAATGCTTATTGTAGTTAAATACTCGTGCTTTGCGTTTTCAATGGAAGAGGACACGTTTTAAGAAAATTTGGTTTACTATGATTTACTACTGTATACTATAATATATCACATTTAAAATAGCCAAGCTATACCACTGCACCTAACCAATAGAAAAATGTAACAGCTTTTTTGTTGCTGCTTACTTCAAATTAGCTGTTAATGTTTAAAGAACTAATGGTGCTGCACCCTGTTGGTAAACCGTATAACCTTTTAATGCTATTGAATATCATAGAAAAAAATTGTGTAGTTGAAACAGCTGGTAAAATTATTTAATTCCTTTTTAAATATGAATACTCATAAGGTTAACATGGGAAACTCTAGAGCCGCTGGGGCGGAGCCCGAAAGGATTTTTGATGTAACAATATGTCTATATGTTAATCAGGAATGTGAGCTATCATTATGCCAAATTTCAACGCAATCCGACCATTGCGTGATTGAACTTCAAACAAACACACAAACTTTAACATTTATAATATTACTAGCTGTACCCGTCCCGTTTATCTTCATATGTGAGCTCGTTTGCATGGCTCAATCACGTCCTGGTTGAAGTTCGTTCGCTACGCTCACTCACCTTAAGGTTGAAGCTCGTTCGCTGCGCTCACACGTCCTGGTTGAAGTTCGTTCGCTACGCTCACTCACCTTTACGGTTGGAGCTCGTTCGCTGTGCTCACTTGCCTTCAGGTTAGCTTGTTCGCTACGCTACCTCGCCTCCGGGTTGAAGTTAGTTCGCTACGCTCACTCACCTTTTGGTTTCAAATTAGCTGTTGTCAAATATTAAAAAAAAATAATAGTGCTGCACTCTGTTGGTAATCCTTGTAACTTTAATGCTATTGAATATGATAGAACATAACCAACTTGTTTAATTGAAACAGCTGTTAAGATCCATTAATTCCATTTAAATATGAGTACTCATAAGGTTAACATGGGAAACTCCAGAGCCACTGGGGCGGAGCCTGTGAAAGTCTGATCAGAATAAAAACAACTTAGTTTTCCTATTTAATGCCTAAAGAATCAGTGTACCGAATTTCAGTCTCCTAGGTAAGTGGGAAGTGGGAGAATTAGTGATGAGTGAGTGAGTGAGTGAGTCAGTCAGTCAGTCAGTGAGGGCTTTGCCTTTTATATATATAGATAGTATGAAGTATGATTAGATTGTAAACAAGAGTAGAAATGGTTGATACACATTTATTTTAAATATGCTTCTTTTATTGATCATTGAAACCTGATTTATTCCGCTAAAACACTCTTTATGGTATGGATCTATGATGGATATACTCTAAACATCGTAAATTTACGATTTTATTTATCTATTAACTGTATTTATCATACATGTTACTTTTATATGATAATGTTTTTCTGAATGTTAATTTTTCCAATTGAATGGTAATGTCTTTAAGATAAAAGGGTAGGTATTTCACACTCTATAGTATGACGAGTTTGAATTATTTGACCCCTTTGAGATGGCACGTTTCATTCTATCGAAAGACAAGGGTCAAGCTTTGCACTGATATGGCTGTTTTGATTGGTCAGTAGAGACGCCAGTGTGGGTATATAAGGCTCAGCTGACTGTCACTGTATCAGATATTTCCTTCAACGAAACATCAGACTACTATTATCATGGGCAAGGAGAGGACCAACGTCAACATGACCGTCGTCGGCTACTACTAGACTCTCAGATCAGGTAATTAATCAATTTCCAGTTAAATACTAAAATTCCCTTACATTCTGTATCGGTTATTGAATTTAGAAATTTAGATTTTTGACAAAATCTTGTTTAAAAAATCTCCGGAGTGATCATGTAAAAATGTATGTTTGTAGAGTTGTTAAAAACGACATATTACGTTGTGGTCAAATGTATATTATAAGAAATTGAGAAAATATACTTTATACCAAGACAGGTTTTTTAGCTTTAACACTTCCAGGTGCATGCTAATGTATTACATGTGATATGCAAATTAAATTCTCCATTATATTTAACCTAACAGTTACAAATGCATGCCAACAGTCATTCCGGAGTTTTTCTCGACAAAGTCTAAATAGTTTTGTTTATAAAACTATTTAGACTTTGTCTCAAAAATGTTTGTTTAACATTCTAAAACATTAAAGAATAACTTTGCAAGTAACAAGTATAACATACTATTATTAAGGTTGATATGTTATTAATCAAAGTTTAATAGTAGGAGGTCAAAACCTATAAACAAACAAATGATTAGTATTGTTTTATTGGTCCCGAAATTCATAATAATTTTAAAGGTAATTTGAGTAATTTTTAAAATTATAATGGTTACAAAATCATTTACAAGATAACATAAAATTTTAATTCAATAAACGTAATTTGTGAAAGTAGCTTGTTATTATCAAAAGAAATGAAGGAACATGATTGAATTATGACATTTTTGCAGAAGATTAAAAACAAAACAAAAATAAAAAGTTATATTAAATTAATTAACCATTATATTTAGGTTTTGTGTGTAATAAGGTTAAGCTGTAAACTCTTATGTTAAGATGTCAAATTTAATCGTAATAAAGTATAACTTAAATGGAAGTAAAATTAATATTTGATCAATCCATATTTTTGCCACCTTGATTTATATAAATTATTAATTTAAATAGGTTAAATACCTTTCCACGTCATCAATTCTAATCGTCTTTCGGGACGACTATAGCTTTGATGTATGCTGTCCCATTGTCAAAATTTGTTTTTCATTAGAATGTTTAAACAATGGAACTTCAATGACTAGTGTTTTAACAGTTTAATAAAGACAGAAGGTTTGACAATGGTTCAGCATGACTCGAAACTATTGTTCGAAAAACGACTAGGATTTATGACGTCAAAAGGTATTTATTATTAATATTTTGTAGTGAAAAGAGGATACTCGTAAGGTATGAATTTTGTTGTAAATGCATGGTTGGTAAACTTATCTCAGAAGTCCTTAAGTGCTGTAACCTACTTAGAACTGTTATGAACAATGGTACTCTATGTAAATTAATGTGGATTTAATCAAAGAAATTTATGATTTGGAGTTTTTTACCTGTTGGTTCAACTACATTTGGCACCTGAAAATGTGTTGTTATATGTAACCAAATCGGGCAAATTTAACCACGCTGTAAAACTAACAAAACAAGCATCACATTTGTAAACAGAATTTAATTACACAAAAAGGTTTATCTTTTGCTATTTTTGATATTATGTTATCTATGTATGATTTATTCAGTTATATTTTTAACAATGTAACTTGGACTTCGTGGGCTTTTGTATAATCTGAAAGTAAGGATACGTAGCTTACATGCTTCTTACCATCCTTGCATTATGAACTCATTTGCTTTCAAGATTCTATTATTTATGTGTTATTCAATCCAGATGATGGAGGGCTAGTACAACACGGACACGTCTCGGCTTCTGTACACGGACACGACTTGGACACGGACAACACGATGCTACGAGAAGAACCCCCGGACTACCCTACACCTGATTGGCTTTTTATTATCACAAATAAATAAATACATTTTTCGAAAATTATTGGTTTCTTTCCATTCCAGGTACTTCTCATTTGATGTAGGCTCATTTGATAACTAAATCTATATGTTAATTAGCAAATTAATACGTTATTTTGTAAAACATACAAATCATTTAATTAGTTGACGTGCAGACAATTGTAATTTTTGTCTTCGTCTTGCTTTTGGCTAAGATTACATGTTTTTTATTCCCATGTCAAGTCAATTCATGTTCTTATACAGTTTTTTGATGGTTCATTAATTATTGGTCTAAACAATTTTAATATACTTAACATGTGTTTCATATAGGGCACACCCCTTAAAAATTATAAAAGGTTTTTTTTACAAAGAGATGGTTAATTTTATATTTTTGCCAATTCAAGAGAAGTAATGTTCATACCGTTTGCTTTTTCATAAATTTTGATATATTGAAAAATCATGATATTAATTTACCAATATCATGATATAAATTAACTTCAAGACAAATTTATTTACGTAACACTAATATAATGAGACTGTTATAAAATAAAGTGATTTTGTGGACTACGTTATTATCCTCTGTGTCTTCAGCTCGGGCCAAACAGTTCATTTTGTCATCAGAACAAAACTTACAATGACGTCTTATGCTAAACTTACCCGAATAACTATCACACATTATCGTCACCTTTTATCTTGTAAATTGATTATGTGTTGTTAACATGTGTATGTTTACTACTGTCTCACAGATTACATGGAAGAAAGGGCCTAGCTACCTCTCTAAATGAATTATTTTCATTTTTTCATATTCTTATTTTACGTTTTATGAATTTTGAATCTTACAATAAAAATCCCTGTTCATCGTATCTAATTAGACATAAAAAACACTTTAGTACCATCTTAACAGTATTAATAGTATTAAGTATTTTGTGACAAGGCATAGTCATTTAGACAGTTGGCTAAATATTCTTAGAAAATAGTATGTAGTTGATTTGTTAAAGAATCTAGCAAATGTCTTTTTAAACAGTTTTCACGATCCTTACATTCTTTATCCCACATTCGTTTGGAGTTTCCAGGAGATTCTAGAAATACGATTTGACAAAATGATGGTCTCTTTACTGGCACATCAACCAATTACCTTGTATTTTATCTTGTATGCGACATCAAATTAAGTGTGTCAAGCTTCAGTTACATGCAATGGTGAGTTATACCGATACTTAAAGAGTGATGCGCAGCGTGCTACAAATCAGTTAGTGAGAAGGTTGGAAGAAAATAGTTACAGTGTGATTTTGTGAAAAGTACTATTTACATAGTAAATATCTTTATTTTAGTACTTGTATAAACTTTCAAGTCTATAAACCCTTTTAATAATGATATCTTGGGATTATCATTGATTTGAAAAGGCGACGGTTAACTTAAAATAGCTGATTGCAACTGTTTGTTTTTCAAAAGGATAGTGTTACATTTTCATATATTAGTTTCACTAAAGCAAATATCAATAAAGAGAACATCTATTGGCACTCAAAATTTATCCTGGCGAAAATCAATATTATACCTTACGTATTTGACAAGTGGTATTTATCCAATGCTCAGTAATATACCTTTTTTGTAGTCTTTACCTCAACGAAGTATTTGTTATGGTAAACATCCAAAATGCATATTTTCTTTTGTACTGTATTTTAAAGGTGCTAGTATAATAGCTTACATACCTGTATAAATTGAGTATGGAAACGAATCTGTATTTAAAAAACCGAAATAGGTAGAAACATTCGGTTTATGGCATTAATTGTTTAAAAGGGTTCCGCATCTTTTACATCAAATTATGTTTCTAAATTTGTTTAATCCCCCTAACAGGATAGGGTGGTGATGGTAGGGGTGTCCTATTTTTCCACTAACAACCCCTACTGAGTGACCTCTCATTTTGATGGGGTTTTTCAAGAAAAATACAATGACGCAAACTCGAGGTAGATACCTCACCCCTAGCCAAAATTACAGGTATTCCAATATTTGATTTATGTGAAAAAGCACCCATTCAATATACCTGACATTTTTGATAGGGGCGAGATATCTACCTCGGATTTGCATCATTGCATTTCTTTTTAAAACTTTTAAAATGAGATGTCACTCAACCAATAGGGGTTGCTATTTGAAAAATAAGTCCCCCCCTACCATCCCCAACCCAGTTAGGGGGGTTGACAAATATGTTTCATGTAAAATTCCTGGAACCTTAGTTAACAATCAATGCAGGAAACCGAATATTTCTATCTCTTTCGGTAAAAAAAAAACAGACATGTTTTCTTATTTGTGAAATTGGTGCTTTTTCAAATAAATCAAATTTTGGATTACCTGCCATTTTGGCTAGGGGTGAGATATCTACCTCGGATTTGCATAATTGTATTTCTTTTTAAACCCCTTAAAATGAGGGGTTAATCAAAAAGGATTGCTATAAAAAAAAAATAAGTCACCCCCTACCACCTACAATGTAAGGGTGGTTAAACTATATTTTTAATGTAAAAGATAGTGGAACCTTTGTTAACAATCAATCCCACGAACACTATTTCTGTCTATATTGGTTTAAAAAATAAAGATTTGTCTCCATACTTAATTTTCATACTGTAATTTAAACGTACATATGCTATGATTATTTTGTTAAACATTTTGTAGCTATTTCTTAACCAAAACGGTAGCCCATTAGGAACACATTTTTAAAAGTTCTATTGTATTGTTAAAACCCAATTTATGTTCGTAATAAGACAAAGACATGTCAAGTACATTTTAGTTTTCACTCGGAATGTCGGTCCTTAGTTATAACAGACACATGAAGGTATTCTGATGGCAGAGTACAATACCCCCAAAGCAGCAAACCTACCGACTAAGCGAATTTCCATCTGCCTGAATTGATTTTCAATTAAATCTATATTTAAATAACAATAGGTTTAACGAGTACTTAGGTTTGCTGCTACAGGGAAACTAATAAAGTGTGTTATTTGGTAAAATTTCAATAGCTTAATATAAAATAAATACATTTTCTAAGTTTAATTAAAACCCATAAACAAGAAAACTACAACATTTTACAATCATGTTCATAAGAATAACACGGGAGTTTAATTTTTTTTTCAGTTACCAATAAGAGCACAAAACTACTAAATTGTTAGTTTGCTCTTTAAAATGTCAAGCGAGACTTGTGTTTTGAGGGTCAAAAATGAGAAAATCTATTTTTACCCCCCTAAGACACCGTAAAACCCCGTTCCCATGGTCGATCATGTTGGTTCGCGAACTCATTTAAGTTTATCCCACCTTGCTCCTTCAAGCCGAATTTCATCTAAATCGACCATTTTTTTTAAATAGGCATGAAATTGGTAAAATAATAGCACAATAAACAAATGAAAATCATAAAAAAATCCTGCACCGCACATCAACATACTTTTTCTTCATTTAATCAGAATAATAAATAGTATTTTATTCTAATGCAGTTTATTCGTTGGTTATGTAGGCCTAGCCAGTTAAATCAGTGAATTTAATCTGCAAGTATAGCATAACACTTTGGACACACAGTGAAACACCTTAAAAAAATAAGGCTATTATTCCTCAATCACTCTGCCCAAGAACTTGCTATGAGTAGATTGAATAATTTGACCCCACGAGAGATAACCGATTCCGATTGATCGTACGACAAGGGTCAAGTTTCGCGAGGATAAGAATGTTATGACGTCAGTGTGGGTATATAAGGCCCAGCTGACTGTCAATGTATCAGATATTTCCTTCAACGAAACATCAGACTACTATTATCATGGGCAAGGAGAGGACCAACGTCAACATGGCCGTCGTCGGCTACTACTAGACTCTCTCATCAGGTAAACTTCCAAAATATATATTGAATAGTCTAAATATTTCTAAGTTCTCTCTCTTCAACGATACTATTAGTTTTATTTATAAAACTATCATAGTAAATCCGCAACTGTAACATCGAGGTTACAACTTCAAGTGTATGTAAAAGCAAACACTAACTTAATTGAAGCAATTAAACATCTTTTCATTTTACAGGAAACTCAAATATTAAATGAGTAAAACTCCTGATAAAAAACTTGGTAATAATTTTTTAAAAGATAAATAATATTGATTATTTTATTTTTGGTTTAATAAACACTTTTCAGTCATTGGAGCTTAAAATAACTGGACATCAACCTGAATGAGAGTTATATTTACTTTTAACATTTGAAAAATTTGTGAAACCCTAATGGCAGTGGATCACTAAAAAAAAAAAAAAAAAAAAAAAAAAAAAACAGTTCATATAAAAGATCAAATATCTTACAACATTTGGGAAAAATCTCTTCCAACAGAAAGAGTTTGTTATTATTTAAACTTCTGGATGAAAGTTATTACAAAATTAGGCCCTGCAAATATCGTAATAATTCAGCTGATGAAATAATAGCTAATATTTGTAAATAAATCACACGAGAAAGTCCGTTTTAGTTCTTCTGTAAAAATATGTTTTACGTATTTAAGAAAAATAGTTTTCTGTCAATACTTCTAAGATGACATTCTTTTCACTTTTATAAGTTAAAAACTATGACATAATATTTTTCCACAACATGATAAATGAGGTGCTGCCAGATTTGTAAACCACGAACTTCTATGTATGTATTGATATTTGTCAAAACAATTTGAGTCAAACTGGTTTATTTTTTTATAATAGAGTTAGTAGGTATTGGTTTCATTTACTAAACTCTGTAATAGATTAGTAATTTACTACAAACAGTTAACTTATTATTTGATGACAAGATAAATGTTTATTCTTTGTATAACGCATTTTTATTTGTAAATATTTTGTAACGCACCAATTTTACGAGCAAAATAAAATACAATAATTTGAACTATGGGGCTATTAGTTAGTAAAACTTGAAAAATGCAATATATTTATTTTAAATAATCATGAGACTCAAGACTATTTTAATTTGTTACCACCAAAATTGATAAATTGGGCCAATTGGCGTTTTGTTTAGAATAAAAAGTATACATTTTATTTCAATGTGTAAATATTTATCT